TATTATTATCATTATTATCATTAGCATTATTATTATTACCATTATCATTTTTATTATTTTGTCTCTTTTTCTTCGTTTCATTTTCCTTACCTCCAACCTAAAACATCCTACCTCCACATCCACCCCCATCCCCAGCCCCCTATCTCCTCGCATTATTAGTAACCAGAGCAAAGTACAAAATGGACCTGTCGGCTGTCCGCTCATGTCCCGTAAATCAAACCAGGCAGGCAGCACTGCGCGTGAGCAATGAATCATTTATACCCTGTACATTCAGCTCATCGACTGGGCCGGACCATAGGAAATGAAAGGGATAAAAGGTGCATTGCCTTCAGAAAAATACGGTTTGCAAAAAGGAGAGATTTACTAAAATCCACAATGTTAATTTTTTTGTGAAAAGAAAGTCTGCTGCCATTTCTAAGACGTGATCCTGTGGGGAATGTTTGTATTCGCAACGAACCCACCATCTAATTCAGTGCTTGCCAACCTTTTTATAGACAGCGCGTACTTTTGTAACCTTTAAGAAGAGGCTAAATTTTTCTAACCACCCATCTACATATTTTTCCAAATGGGGCATTACATAGTGCCCGTCACTACCTGGGTGGTCCTCAATGCCTACCACAATTACCCGGCTGGCTGTGTTTTACAAAGTTTTACGGCACTTGCAACACAATTTGGTCATATAAAAGCCGAAGATTAGAGGTGTTAACAGATGGTAACAAACACAAAAAAGGAGGAAAGATAAGCATTATAGATGTTTGATAGGAAAGAAGGAGCAAACTACACGAGAGCTCCCCACGACCGCCCACCATCTACCATGTTGGTAAGCACTGATTCAACATAACGGTAGGCCTACCGACAACACGAAAGCTCTTCGTCTTTTCAGCATGTCCCTAATTCTGTGGGCTGGACTGGCTCAAGAGACAACCCACTGAGCACGTGAAATTACGAGAGGAGTGCTCATTCCTCAGCTGAGTATCATACACGTAGACAGTAGTTATACGGGGTGCCACTACGGATGGGATCGGCAGATCGGGCAGGCCGATTGCCAGACTCGGTCGCCTAAAAAACAAACGTGTTTGTTCAGTTCAAGGCGACCGAGTCGGGCGATCGGCCCGATCCAGCCGTAGTGGGCACCCCGTATTAGGTGCGAAATTTTCGGCATGTCGTAGAGTAGACCCGATTATGGATGTCGCTGGTTAAGTACATATATGTAGTATGTTGCAGGTCTTTGAAAAAAGATGTGTTGTAGTGACCTTTCGGAAAATAAACGTGTACCGGTGTACACCTTTTTCTAACACGTCTTAGCTCTCACAATTTTCCCTGACATATTTGCTGTTTCTTATTATTTTATCAACGAAAAAGAGCTCGGTTCTTTTCCTGTGTTCAAACAAATATGACAAACTGAAACACTTGCAGACCACATGCTTGAACTTTTCTCTCTCTCTCTCTCTCTCTCTCTCTCTCTCTCTCTTTCTTTTTTTTTCTTTCTGTCTCTCTCCCTTTTTCTCTCTCATTCTCTCTCTCCATTTTCTCACCATCCTCCCTCTCTCTCGTTCTCTCTCTCACTCTCCCTCTCCCTCTCCCTCTCTCTCTCTC